ACATGCACCAAAGAGATATATAGCTGCAAGGCAGGCAATTGACCGACTACATTATTATTCTGTAAGCATGGTTCGATAACACTATGTATGATTATCGGTTTTAAGTCCGCCATGGACTGATGATGCTTACAAAAACATGACCGCTATTCTAACTTCCACAAAGAACTGCGTCATGTAATACCTGTATATTTAATGTTTGATACACAGTCAGTATCCAGTGACAGTCAGTATGGTGAATAGAATGGTGTGAACTATCGGATAGCTTATGTCATGTATACTATATGTAATTAAATATCCATCCTTTGTTGTATATCATTTGGCTTCATTGGTTTAAACAATAAATCATAGCAAACAATTACATTTACATGCGACTCTGCAAGTTATGTAACTTGAACCTTATTGTATACTAACTATTTCTGAACACATGAGTGGTGGTCTCCGATCTGATGTGTCACACTGCCACAAAAAGTTCGTGCGTGTCATGTTCACCACCACTTGCCTGCCTACAGCTGAGCTGTCGTGATAGTTTTTTTCACAACCAAGCATGCGATATTAGACTGCCAGGCTGAACCGAAGCCGGACTTTGTTTGTTATTCTGAAAAAAAAAGCATCTTCCTTTACCAATAATGCCATCAGTGGGAGTCATATTGAAAGGCATTTTTGCCCGTATTTTCTACGTGATCCACGGTTTGCTCTGCGTTTGGAGACTGACTGATGTCAATGGGAATATGTATTTCTGGGCGGTTATAGTACCAGTATTACTCTTGCCGTTGGAGATGGTGATTACTATGATGGTTAACAAAACAAAAGGAGAGTGGAAATGGTAAGTAATTCCTCATGTCCTGTGAATCAGAGAAAACTTAATTTGTCGATTTGAATATAATATATATTCATTGCATCATGGTTAGTTAAATTTATCAAATTGAACTCCACAGTTGCCAAGCTATCTTTCTGGAGTGTCAATGTTCGCTACATACTTAATGTGGTAGTTCTAACGCGATGATATTTGCGACTAATTCGACATTATTAATATAATAATAATAATAATTTATTTCTTTACCCATGCAAATATAAATAAAGGAAGGTTTTCTTGAAAAATCGATAATTGTGATGACGTCAAAACAGTGACGTAACTCTGTTCACATCGTTGTGTCGGACGATGACATCGATATCTCTGCTTCAAAATTCAAACGACGATGAATCTCATTTTGTTTTTCACTCAAGATTGCTATTGTTATTGTGGTCAGTAGATTCTTGGTAAAAAATATATCCCTGTGTCCGGGTGACATGCCGTTGAACAAATTTCATATATAGTGACTCACAGGGTACAGTTTGTTTTTTATTATTTTTAAAAATACATTAAATATTGAAATAATACATATGTGACTTTATATTTGACAGGGTGTGTCCCAGTATTTTCCTGTTTTTATGTTGTTCTGTGACGTCAATTTATTTAATGGAAGTGGAATTGATGGAGGATAGAATCGAATACAGAGATGATAACAATCTACAGTCATGTGATATAGAAGAATCAGATCTCTATGCCAACCAGAGCGAACTATTAGACATCCAAGGAGTAAGTTTACATTCAACATTTTACTGAACAATTTCTACCAAAGTAAAACAAAAACAACAATCTGATTAAAGGGTAATTTTTAATTGGTCACACTTTGTCTATAATTTATTATATGAAATATTTATTATATGAAAGTGTACAAACAATTTGAATAGGGACATTGTCAAACGCAAAAAATGTTTAAAAGATATATAAAATAGTATCTTTTGACGGTAGAAATATCTATGTAAATGCGCACGCGTTTTGATTACTGGAAGGTACTATCAATTCACAGATATTAAACACAAATTATGAAAAATTATCAAAGTTATCTATATTACTGCTTTGAATAGAAAATAAGAAACATATTAAATAAACTACCAACATATGTTATATGCATAATACGTATTTTACTTACCACAACAGGTGACAATACCAATCGCGTTTACCAGCGACTATTGGGTTCTGACGCTGGAACAAATGTTGCTGTGTATCGTTATAATCGGTCGTTGGTTTTTACCGAAGGGGAGCCTAACACGGGAACAGTTGTCATCGTTACTCTTAACATACATAGGTATAGCAGCCGACATCTTAGAATTCCTGTTAGAAGGATTGAAGGAACCGCAGGTAAAATGCGATCGTTTTGTAGTCTATTGTATTCTCAGCTTATGGGCAATTAGCATGGCGCAGTTTGCGGTGGTACGAACGGCCAGTAACACCGAGAAGAAAGGAGGCGACGAAAAGAAGAGACAATGCTGCACATGTTGTAACAGCGAAGTGCGCGGTATTATGATCTCTTCGTTGATGCAAGATCTACCATTCTTGGTAATGCGTCTGACGCTGTTACTTTATTACAAAGTGGTGAATCATATGATGGTGTTCTTCACGTGTAAAAACATATTAATGTTGATGTTACAAAGCTACCGTTTTGTGGTGATTATATTTGAAGAACAGGGCGACCCAAATGATGTTGTTCCTCTAGGAAAAATACAGGTTGACGATCCTGCTAAATTCATCCCTGAAGCGAGTGATTTCAAAGGAAACCCAGGAGTTCAAGACACTGTACATAAAAATGACAGGATCCCATGAAATATGCAAATTATATGAGTCAAAAAGGTGAAATAAGTGAACGTCCTAAAGTGTTTGTTATATTTCCCTTAAAAATCAACATCCGATTGTTTTTTTATAGTTATACCATGGAAGGTAGTACCTTCCATGGTTATACAGACATGTAGGTTGTATGTGGAATTGTAACGTGTGTATATATAACATATAACATTTACACTTTCCCTGGTGACTCGTGTTGGCAAGATCCAGGCTGCTCGTCTACTCCTTCCAGCCCGATGTGCCAGTGATATTACAGGTTTGGAAACCGAGCCATAATAGCATGTGCATTGGGTGTACGTAAAATTGTGTAAAATCTGATCATGGGCACTATTATATGCTCTATGTCCGTGACTTGTTTATTTGACTCTGCTCTAATAATATATTTAGTGAACCTCGAAGATTGAATATAATAACAAATAACACATAATACCTCGATTAGATAGATAGATACGTCCTTACTATTATATAATTTTGTTGTTGTACACTATTGTATTTAAACAATAATGAACGACCCTACCAACCCATAATGGGCGAAAGCTCATATATGCACGAGGCGTGAACCGAGTACATATATGGAGCACAAAGTGTGCTTGAGTCCATTATGGGTTGTCGGGGAGTTCATTATTGTTATTATTTTGTAGCGTTGTCATTACCAGTGGATTTGCTGCCTCTAAAAAGCGGGGAAATTTGGAGAAAAATCTACAGTGAACGGAATACCGTAGTGTCATGAATTTGTTTTCGCGTATCTGTTAACCGACTTAATTAGTTGATTATTAGCCGAATTGCTGTGTTATGTCTGTCATCGTGTAGGCCTATTTGAAGTTTTGGACGGAACTTGGCTCAGTGATTTGGAACTAATTACCAGATAACCGCCACTTTTTAGACTACTCATTCTGACAGTTGGTATCCATAGTTATTAATGTAGTGAACGATTAATCAAAAGATATGACGTATTCAGTACTTAGTGTGATTGGCTTTATGATTGAAGGTTACGCCCTAGAGTCTTTTACTGTTTTGTAATTGGTTAGAGTTTTGAAAATGAATAAAGAGAGTTTGAGTTGGTCTTGGCGAATACTCCACGACAGACGCAGTCGAGAGTCCAGTCCAGGGGCGAGCCTTGAGGCAGTCCAGTCTTGGGCGAGTCTTGGTTCAGCCTTGTGAGAGTCTTGGGGACTTTTCCCCAGGGCGCTGTGTCTTATAGAGTGCTCCAAAAGATCGACTAAGACGAGAGCTGAAACGTATTTCGTTGTGTGTGTCTTATTTGACTGTAAAGTTAAAGTGACTTCCCCGATCCCGTACCTCAAGGGGACGAGATAGAGCGACGAGACGAGTTTCCCCCTGGCAAGTGTGGAGACCCCGAGAGAGAAGTTTCCCCCCTGATAGTAGTTTCAAAGTCACTGGCCCGTGAATCTGAATAATTTAAAATTCCTTCTGGAAATCTCATATGGCAAACTAAGGAAGAAACTAGTTTTAATCCATCAAATATAATTTGTATTGAACTCATTTACATTGCGAGTGAATGAGTGACTGATGTGTGATGTGGAGTAGCATTACAGTGATCGCCCGAGCGAACGGCACACCGTGACTGGTACCGGGGACTGGAACGTCGTATCGGTGTCCACCGCGGCTAGCACTACACTACGCTAGATCGCCGCCGTGGTCCAGCTGGATCGACTGTGCGTAGGGATGCGTACCCGGGCACATGTACGTAGTTGCATCGTTACCCCATCCCACTAGTGTTTTCAAACAATCAAGGTAGATATTATTGGCAACTGTTCTTTCTGTGTAATAGTTATTTTAAATTTCACGGGAGGGCGGGGATTTGACGAATACTATGAAGCCAAACGTAGCGTAGCGGGCGAACGAACATGACCGGAAAGCCAGTGTATAAATAAACAGATACACACCTTGGAACATGGATACTTTCATTTATTTATACAAACTGTGCCCGGACTGTTACATGTACCGGGAGTCGACGCCGAGGAAATAAGAGTCACGTCGCGGTCTTTCGTCGATCTCGTTTCGCAAATTTTGTAGTACAAAAACAGAACAAATTCATCTCTCTGTACTCGTAGACATACATTGTACCCCCATTTTGTTTATCGCATTTGCTTGGATAAATTATCCTCGGTTACCCTCACTTCAACAACACGATAAGGCGAACTAATCAGGAGGCCACCAGGACAGCAGCATAAGTTGCGGAATCTAGAAGTGCGCGTACTAGATGGAACGCTTCGACCGAACACGCGTTGGCGTACAGAGCAGACGACGATGCCTTCAAAATATTGTCTGATTTCGATATTGAAATCCGCTGTTATTGGTTATGGACCGTTTTATTTGATGTCGATTGTGGTATTAAATACTTGTTATCTAACAATATTTCGTCTTTTTCAATAGTTTCTTCTTTATTCGTTTCTTCTTTATTCGCCTTGATGCTCAATAATGTAATACATTATCGCGAATAATCTGTTGCAATGACGTCATAAAATCCACTGGTATTGATAATGCTATAATATAGTTGTTGTTATATCATATTTAGTAAAAATATCTGTCATCTTGTTATACATTGCGATTGTAGCGGTGACCTAGGTAACTGTAGAAGCTTTTAGCGCAATGTTTATGATAGTATCCAAAGTAGACAAGGCTGTGCATGCATCGTGTGATACAATAGTAATATAGTAACACAGTGTTTGTTTTAAAGGGACATTGTCGATTTTGTTTTATCTGTGCGTTTTTGTTCGAATAAGTAGAAGTTTTGAGTGAGATGGATCATGGGTTATCCTCCGCTGTCCAAGGAGAAGGGGATGAAGTAAAAGCCTCAGCTTACCTAGCGCCTGGATCGTCTTAATATAATATTGGCATGGCGCCATGTTTGTCCATTTCTACGTGACGTTCACCTGGGTAGAATTTCAATTGTTTAAATAGTGGTTATTCTAGTACATCCAAACCGCAACGTGTCTCCTGTTCAGTTGAGTCGAAGCATATATGAAAGGCAGAATTCGATACGTCTAAAAACTTGCCGACAAACAGGCTGCTCTCAGGGTGTCAGGGTTGGGTAACCAATAATAGTTACTATCTTGTAAGTAACTTTATACCTTAGTTTGGACGGATGAAACCATAGTTTCGTGTCCATATAGTAGGTTTATTGCTATTAATATGCCACCGGCCCATCGCAAAAATAATTATAACTATAACAATATGAAACTATGACCATAAAGTTTTAGTCACGGTGCAATGCCTAAAGTTCCATTTTTCCCGAGTAGACCAGTGCCGCGGCAAAAAACATACCCCCTGTGGTGCTGGTACAGAGGGTATTCAAAATGAAGGTGAAATGTGTCCATAATACAGCATCACAAGCTTCAAACAGATATCTAGAAACCATCTTTTAAATTAATCTGTTATCATAAATGTAATAGTTTACAAGTCGGTTACTAATTGCCGCTGGTGCATGTCCACGCAATTCCTTTGGGTTAAATTTAAATAGATAAATAGATGACCTGTTAAAACTCCCAGGTGTTAGATTGTACGATCTGTACAAAGTATGTTGTTTGTATTGTCATGGTATTGCCCATCTGTTGGCATGAAATCTAGTATTTCGATTGGTTAACTTGGCCAATCAATTGCGGGAATCGAGACTTCATTCAATTCCTCTTTTCCGGAGAGTAACTAGCGACACTTTGTAAATTGTCAATTTTGACTACGAGTAGTGTTATTTGTCCAGTGACAGCGTGTCGTCATTTTCAAGCTGAAAACGACACCATGAACAAAAGAAGTACAGCAACACTGCGTCCTGTTTCCCAGAAACTGATAGGACTCACAAAGAGCTCTTATCGAAGCAAGAGCGGAGTGGCGACCCTAAAGACAGCGACAGAACCAGACGAGAATTCACCAACCTTTATACCACCTCAAATTAACAAACCAGCCACTGTTCCACTACCATCCTCTGATTATTCACGCATCGTGTTCGATCTTGAAACCACATCGTTAGGTAATATATAGTCTTATTATTTTTGATGATATATGACACGTTACTCAACTCGCTAGTTGAAAGTTATGGAGAGAGAAATGTAAAAAAGGAACCATGGCAACACAGTACATCATAATGCATCTATGAATCGTGTTCTCATCAATGATATACCAGTGATGAAACATTTGTCGTTACTAAAATAATACAGTCTACCAATAGTAAGAAATACGCTGCGATTGACATCATATTTAAATTATCACGTGTAACGTTGGGTTTGGTAACGTTTGCGTTTGTTTTACAAATCTTCATAATATTATACAAATCTTGTAGGTTTCACACTATCTAATAAGAGCGCAATATCCTTTCATTAAAGAAATCCGCATAGATACCTTACTAATATTTGAACTTATTGTACTGATAAGCATACAGGAATAACTAGGTTTGCGAGTGGTGTTTAATGACAATCAAATGGCAGGCTGACACTGTTGCATCTACATTTTCTAATATTACCCAGTACCAGTGTAATTGAATAACTTGTATTTTGAGGAGTCAAGTACTATGGCAATGTTATTTAATCACTATGGTGATATTATTTAGCACATAGTGTTAACATTGTCAAATATGAAACATTTTCAACAGTTAGCTGTTTGATTCATTTCCAAGTGACTTTTGTCATTGAAAATTCAGTCCCAGTTATCGTATACTTGGTGTATATGTGTATAACAATATCACCTTCTCTACAAATTGTGTCGAAGTTTTCACTCACTCAGTCACTTACATAAAGTCAGCTTTACTTAAGATTAAGTTTTCATGGAGAGGGATGGTTGAAGTTGTTATTTCTAGGTCTATATTCAGAGTTTATCGTTTTCAACTGTAACGTTTCATTTATGCGAACGTATTACGTAATGGCTAACTGTTTTTAATTTTATACAATTTCCAAACAGGTGACAATGCCGATATCGTACAGTTGGCAGCTATCCATGACAAAGACGTGTTCAATTGTTACATTCTCCCAAAGAAAAAAATGACAAAGGATGCTTCTAAACTCACCAAAATTTATGTTCGCCGTTACAAAGTATACCACAACCGAAAAGTGGTCCCATCCACTAATTTACTTCGCGCCCTAGAACGGTTCTGTAAATGGCTGTCTAAGTATCGCAATCCACTTCTCGTTGCCCACAATGCAAAGAGGTTCGATTCCCGTGTGATTGTACAACAGGCTGATAGCGTCGGTTACCTTCCAAAATTACAACAATTCATCGCGGGGTTTGTGGATTCACTACCGCTATTTAAGCTGATGTGCCCAGACATGACATCGTATACGCAAGAGCACCTGGTGAAAGAAATACTACATCAGAGTTACGACGCTCACAATGCAGTCGGAGACGTGAGAAGTTTATCGGATCTTATTTCGCATCTTCATCCGACCGTAGAACACCTTATCAGTCATAGTTTCAGCGTCTCTGATGTTATAACTTATTTAAAATACTCTGCCACAAAAAAGAAAAACTTGTCCAGCTTACAGAAACTAGTATCCAATAACATACTGTCTCAGTACATGATTGAGAGAATCGCCGGATCAGGACTAAATTTTAGGCATTTATTGCTGTGTTACAAACGAGGTGGGCAGGATGGTCTGGTTGAATTATTTCAGGAGAAAATAAATGGTGAAGTTAGAGTGACCGAGAAAACTACCATAGTTGCAAAGTTGGCCGATCACTTGAATGGGTACAACCTTGAGCTTCTCTGAAAAAATGTCTCCATACAAATATTGAAAACGATTCAATGAAAGTTCACCGGGATTAAGACTACAGAGTGCTTCAAAATTCATTGATTAGAAGCTGAATACGACTTAACGTTTTCACAGCATGGATTGTTCTCAGAGTACGTAATCTCATTAGGGCATGCTGTGTTATTTCGTACTGCGAGGTGTATACGAGTTTAGTTTGTCTTAAGAAACTCAAGTCTAGTGACGCAGAACATTGATTTAGCCGAATATCGTCGCCAACTTTGCAATCTATCATGCGGAACTGTCATCGCCTTTGTAGTATATCTGTTAGCTGCCGATAACGGTCTGTGCTGATAAGAGGGATTTTTTTACAATGAATATAACCAAGGGTAGCGTTGCTTTTTAACGATTACATAAACAAAGCCTCTTATAGAATTTGTAGATTTTGTATTCCATATCCACCGTGATGTTGTTTACTCAAATCTTAGTCCGAATGAAATGTACAACTGTACCTTATAAAGAATGGAAAATAAAATATATTTTTAATGCTCTAATTGTTTTTGTGTTTTTTTCTTGTTGATAGTGAATGATAAACATAACGTGGTTTATATACATGCTAAATTTTCGTTTTTTTGATATCCTAAATTAGATCATGGGACAAGATGTCGAGCTTTGAAATTGGAGATCGACACTTGTGATGACTTATCAAGATGGCGGTTGGGCATTATCTTGGTGCTGGTGCATCGCTGGCAAGACATTATCTAGACAATGTCTTGCATGGGACAATCGGTCAGATATTATGGCTTCACGAGAACAAACGTACATTGTTGAAAATTTATATACATGTAAATATCAAACTTTGGTGTTAGGGTACTAGAAATATCTTATTTGTTTGGATTCGAACTTTCACTTTGCATTTTCAAGATCTACCAGAATTTCGATGTCATTTACCGGATTTTGTACCTTGTTATTTTAAAAGTGTAATCATAAATATTCATAAGTTGATGCAGCGTACGTCGCCCGTCTACGATAAATTTAAACACCTGGCTTGAAATGTACATCTTGAACAAGAATTCACTGGATGCGTATTTTGTGTATTGGATTATTTCGTTAGCTATTATGTAATTTATTTATGGACAAATAAGAAAACTACCATAGTTGCAAAGTTGGCCGATCACTTGAACGGGCACAACCTTGATCTTGATATTGAAAATTCCTCGGGGGAAAATGACTATAGAGTGCTTCACGGTCCATTAACTAGACGCTGAATAAGACTTAACATTTTCACCGCATGGATTGTTCTCAAGAGTACAGAATCTCATTAGAACATACTATACCATCTGTATTATAGAAGTCCATACAGCGAATGGAAATGGTCCAATGCTCGAAGTGCGACCATTTATTATTTTTCACAAAGGCCAACAAATCATAATAGTTTATTTTCATGAGTTAGTTTGACATAACAGTATACTAGTAACCACCCCGTATATTTTAACCCATATTCTATTATGTCATGTATTTGTTTTTATTTCGTGTTGCGAGGTGACGCCGAACAACCATTTAGTCTTTGTAAAAAGCAGCTTAAAATGCTGAAAACTATCGCTAGCTTTGCAATCTATCATAGAGAACAGTCATCGCCTTCATTGTGTATTGCTACCAGTCAGTGCATGGGATAGAGGGATTGATTTACAATGAATATTAGCGGGGGTAGAGTTGCTTTTTAACGATTACATAAACAAAGACTCGTAAATTTTGTATTCTATAACCATCATGAAGTCTGTTTACTTTATAGCCCGAGTGAAATGTACCATATAAAGAATGGAAATAAAATAATGAAAAACTAAATGTACACAGGAGTAGAAACATTACTATTAAATATTAATGAAACACAACTATTACAAAAATGTGATATACTTAGTCCAACACAGATGAAAATTATTGATGAAATAATTGAAATTATGTTTATTATAAAATGAAAAAAAATGAAATTCATAATGATACTCGCAAAGTAACGTATCAAAAGTTTAAATCTCATTTGGGATTAGAAGTCTACTTAAAGCAACTCAAAAATGCAACAATGAAAAGTTTAGATTAAGTGATCACAGTCTCAAAATTGAAACATGGAGACACAATAGAACACCAACCAATAATAGAACCTATATGTTAAAAACAATAACAAGGGAGATGAAAACCATTTTTTGATGGCATGTAATAAATATGATGAATGAAGCCAAAAAATGCATAAAAAACTTTCATATTATTACAGAAGAAAAACAATTCACCAAAATAATGTCGAGTAGCAAATTAATAATTCAATTAGACGTGACAATATATAAAAAATCTACATGGACTTAAGATACAAACACCTGCCGATATAATTACTATAATTGTATGCGCTTCCTTACTTTATCTTTGTAGTATATAGTTTTTTCTTCTTTCTTTGTTTTATCATTAGTAGTTTATTTAGTTTTTGTTTGTTTTACTTTTGTAACCATTTCCATGTGTAAGTGTTAATAAAGATTTGAACTATATATATTTCACATTGACCGACATGAACGTCTACTCGCGCATTATCCTATGCATTTACGCCATTTCAAATTTACAGACTTGATGAAACTTGAATGGGCGAATCGCACTAACTACATTGCTTAAAGTTTATTGAAGACTTGGATTGTGTAATCTAGTAGAGCGCCTCCAACCGCTCAATTTATAAACCATTGAGCACGACAAAACTGAGTACACGCTCCATCCCAACTTGAAACCCGCCATCAGCGGTTACAACTAAATTTGTATTTATTGTAACCACCCAATACATTGCGATCACACCCGCTATTTAATACAAGTTAAAGACATTGGCACGAAATAAGGTACGAAAAATGTTTCTATCCCTAGAAGAAAATATGGTCCACTTTTGAACTAAGATGACGTCACGAAAAGACTAATTTCATGTAGAAGTTTTATTACAACATTTCAGTTTTTCTTTGTTTTTAATGATACTCATTAAAATAGATTGACAAAGTTGAAACCTGTCTTTCACCAATCACCTGCTTTTTGAAAGTTTGAGTTGTGGTCGATTAAAACACAAATTCTGACTGGTGTAACTATCGGTTTTAATAAGACATTTAAAAACAAATGATTGTTAATTTGCTAAATCCTTAAAGCACAGCTCTCGTATGATTTTTAAAATTGTCCACATTTTTTTCCCACAAAGAATCGGCCCTAAAATAGACCCTTGTGGCATCCCACTGCGTCGAATGTTTTGGGGAAACAACCCAATCAGGCATCAGTTATACGATACATGATACTTCTGTTCACAGCCATGATTGGTGACAGGAAATTAAGTTGTTAGTTTTGATAGTTATACGTTCCATTAACTTACATCAATAACACAGGTCTATAATTAATTGGTAGTCGCCGAGAATATTTCTTGTGCACTGGTGTGATGTTTGAATCGCCCCAATCCTCAGTTTTTAATGACAGATCAAATATAGTTTTGCAATGAAATGATTAGAGACCTGTATGAAAACATTCACGTGCACACCACGTGGACTTGATACTTTAGTTTAGGACTTAATGCTTTTGACTCAAGCTACAGGTGTGACACCTTTATTCTATTTACATGCTAACGATAGGGATAATAGATTTTTTTTTTTTAGATTTTAACAT